AGCATAGAGAATCCGATCAAAAAAGACAAAACACTTGTCTGTTAGGTCTGTTTATGTTATGTGATTAGAAGAGATGTGTGAATTAGCTGCTGACAATAGAATAAATGATTCTATTACCACTGCTACGCAGCGACACGCAACCCTACCTATCCTTCCCGCCAGGCGATCCCACTGTCTCGTTGCAGATCACGGACTGTCTATCGACATATCTGCATGGATGAAGGCTTGCGACCTTCAACTAAACCTCTCTAAGACTGAACTCTTGGTCATTCCAGCCAAGCAATCTATCCACCATAACATCAAACTACAAATTGACTACGCAACCATCACTCCAACCAAGGTGGTGAGAAACTTGGGTGTCATGATTGGTGACCAGCTGTCCTTTTCAGACCATGTTGCTACTGTCTCTCGGTCATGCCACTTGTATATACAATACAATGATCTTGTATTGATTGCACTTTTTGTTAACTCTTACTTCCTTCCCTAGGTATTTACCCCATTGATGTGATATGTACTGTGAGCTCTTACTAGTATTTATTGCTGCTCTTACTAGTATGTATTGTCAGTAGTTGATGCTCTGTTGATGCTTGTATGTTGTTCCTCAAATGTAAGTCGCTTTGGATAAAAGCGTCTGCCAAATGAGTAAATGTAAATGTAAATGATCATTTGTCAACGTCATGAAATCATGCAACAGAAACGTGCTTTGGCGAAGAGGATTTCTTGTCACCAACACTGACTGAAGGCTGCAGTCCACCGCGCTCTGCGTTCTGGCTGCGAGGAGGACGCCACAGCTGATCGCAGCCATTCTAGACAAAGCTTGGGATTCCACCAGATGCGCCGCAGAGCGATTCAGAAGCGGCTCTCTGCTTTGCTCAGTGGAGAATACGAGGCTAGTCTATTGTTGACAGAAGCTGCGTAAAGCTGCACCGAGCAGATCAAATTCCCAGGAAGTCAGACACTGAAACAGCATAGAGAATCCGATCAAAAAAGACAAAACACTCTGCCTGTTACTTAAGTCTGTATATGTTTCTGTGATTGGAAGAGATGTGTCTTTGTGTTGCCACTACTGTTTCTATGGCTTCCATATAAAAGAGATATTTGACTGCTTTCTAAGTTATCCACATAGGCATAGCTGCACAAGCTGATGGAACATGTTGGTGTCCTATTTGAAATGGCATTTCACTGCTCACGCTCCCTGGTGGTCTAGTGGCTAGGATTCGGCGCTCTCACCGCCGCGGCCCGGGTTCGATTCCCGGTCAGGGAAAGTACACTTTATGTCTGTCTGTGACTGTGAATTTGCTGCTTGACAACAGTAATGTTGATCATTTGTCAATTTCATGAAATCATGCAACGGAAATGTTGCTTTGGCGAAGAGGATTTCTTGTCACCAACAATGACTGAAGGCTGCAGTCCACCGCGCTCTACGTTCTAGCTGCGAGGAGGACGCCACAGCTGATCGCAGCCATTCTGGACAAAGTGGCTCTCTGCTTTGCTCAGTGGAAAATACGAGGCTAGTCTATTGTTGACAGAAGCTGCGTAAAGCTGCACCGAGCAGATCAAATTGCCCAGGAAGTCAGACACTGAAACAGCATAGAGAATCCGATCAAAAAAGACAAAACACTTGTCTGTTAGGTCTGTTTATGTTTATGTGATTAGAAGAGATGTGTGAATTAGCTGCTTGACAATAGTAATAATGATTCTCTTACCACTGCTACGCAGACGACACGCAACCCTACCTATCCTTCCCGCCAGGCGATCCCACTGTCTCGTTGCAGATCACGGACTGTCTATCGACATATCTGCATGGATGAAGGCTTGCGACCTTCAACTAAACCTCTCTAAGACTGAACTCTTGGTCATTCCAGCCAAGCAATCTATCCACCATAACATCAAACTACAAATTGACTACGCAACCATCACTCCAACCAAGGTGGTGAGAAACTTGGGTGTCATGATTGGTGACCAGCTGTCCTTTTCAGACCATGTTGCTACTGTCTCTCGGTCATGCCACTTGTATATACAATACAATGATCTTGTATTGATTGCACTTTTTGTTAACTCTTACTTCCTTCCCTAGGTATTTACCCCATTGATGTGATATGTACTGTGAGCTCTTACTAGTATGTATTGTCAGTAGTTGATGCTCTGTTGATGCTTGTATGTTGTTCCTCAAATGTAAGTCGCTTTGGATAAAAGCGTCTGCCAAATGAGTAAATGTAAATGTAAATGATCATTTGTCAACGTCATGAAATCATGCAACAGAAACGTTGCTTTGGCGAAGAGGATTTCTTGTCACCAACACTGACTGAAGGCTGCAGTCCACCGCGCTCTGCGTTCTGGCTGCGAGGAGGACGCCACAGCTGATCGCAGCCATTCTAGACAAAGCTTGGGATTCCACCAGATGCGCCGCAGAGCGATTCAGAAGCGGCTCTCTGCTTTGCTCAGTGGAGAATACGAGGCTAGTCTATTGTTGACAGAAGCTGCGTAAAGCTGCACCGAGCAGATCAAATTGCCCAGGAAGTCAGACACTGAAACAGCATAGAGAATCCGATCAAAAAAGACAAAACACTCTGCCTGTTACTTAAGTCTGTATATGTTTCTGTGATTGGAAGAGATGTGTCTTTGTGTTGCCACTACTGTTTCTATGGCTTCCATATAAAAGATATATTTGACTGCTTTCTAAGTTATCCACATAGGC